GGTGGCGTTTTATAAAATGGAGGAACAGACATGGAGAAAGTTATATACAGAGGAGGATGGGTGCATTGGTGAGGGAGGCAGGTGACTCTATAAGCCTAAGAATGCTAAGGATTGAGACAGAATAGACTCGATGACAGTGAGTTTGTTTTGTTTTTTTTAGAGGAAACTAAGGGCAGTGAAAAAGGGGAAGACTCTCAATGAGATGGATTGACACAGTGGCTGCAGCAATGAGCTCAAGCATAGCAAGGACCGTGAGGCTGGCACAGGACTGGGCAGTGTTTCATTCTGTTGTACGTAGGGTTGCTATGAGTCAGAGTTGACTTGATGGTAGCTAACAACAACAGCAGTAGGAAACTAAGACACAATATGATGGAATATTATTTAGTCATAAAGAAATCTGAAGTTTGGGTACATGATACCACATGGATGAGCCTTGAAAACATTATGCTTACCAATATAACCTCTAAAACCTTGGACTTGTCCCAGTGTTTGGAATCTTTGTTATTCATGGAGGGACTTCAGACCACACCTACTTCACAGGTTTTGCTAATGTGCTGAGCCTTCAGTGAAGAATGGCCAGGTCAGAAAGACTCACCCTAACCTTGTGGGAGGAGGGCTGAAAGTTGAGTTCAACCACGAGATCAGTGATTCAATTAACTATGCTTATGTAATGAGACCCCAATATGTGGAAGTTCCTTGAACTTCCTGGTTGGTGAAACCATCCATGATCAGGAAGGTGACATGTCCCTTTTTGAATATGAAAGCTCCGTGTTAAGGACCTGCCCAAATTTTGTCCTATGCATCCCTGTGCTGGTTGTGATTTGTATTCTTTTTGCTATAATAAAAGCGCAGTTGTAAGCATAGCGCTTTCCTGAGTTTTATAAATTGTTCCAGTGACTTTTCAAACCTGGCTGGGGTGGGGGTGGGGAAACGTGGAATCCTCAAATTTATAGCCAGCAGATCAAAATAAGAGGAGTCCTAAGGATTGCTGAGCTTATGGCTGACAGTGGGAAACCCCAAATTAGTAGCCAAAAGGCCAGAAGTGAGGGTGCTTTGCAAGCTTTCAAGCTTGAGGCTGACATCCAAAGTCTTGAATAAACTTGGCAGTCTGGAGCACAGTGCCCTTTAACTTGTGAGATCTGCACTAGGTCTGGTGGCTAGGATCAGAAGAAGAAGGTCTGCATTTGTAGTTGGTATCAGGCCTGAATAGTAATTGATTTGCTAAGGGAGTTATTGTTTATGGGGTTCTTAACTTCTGTTTTGGGTGATGAAAAACTTTTGGAAATAGTGGTGATGATTGCATAACATAGTGAATGTACTTATTGTCATTGAATCGTATGTTTAAAAATGAATAAAATGGAAAATTTATTGTTGTGTATATTGAACCAAAATAATTTTTTAAAAATTACTGAGAAATAAAAGAAATAATGAAATAATTAAAGTAAAAATAAGAGGTATACTGTTACATATATAATCTTAAAAGTATAGTAACTGAATGAGAAAAGGAAGTTGTAGAATGATAATAAAGTATCATGTATCTGAAACTAAACACATGAAATAATGTGTGAAGATTTGTATCGTGTAAAGTACAAAAAAATGTGAGTAGTTGCCATCAAGCTAATTGCAATGCACGGACGGCTACCTATGTGCACACAATGGGACTGTGCCACAAAGTTTTGTAGACTGTGACTTTTTGGAAGCAGATTACCAGGCCTGTCTTCTGAGTCAGCATCCTTTCTGCTGGTGGTCTAGTACTTAACCATTTGTGCCACCCAGGGACTCTACAAAAAAAACTAGAAGCGGTAAAATTGTACACCAAATTCAAGATCGTATTTATGTGTGAGGGTGGTAGAGAGATGAATGTGGTCAGAAGGGATGTGTATGGGCTACAGTTATATCTATAATGTTTTATTTTGCTTATTTTATTTAAAATGTCCTAAAGCAACATATGACAAACTGGTAAAGACTTAATAAAACTGGGCGGTGAATACTTAGACTTTTCATATATTTCTCCATATTTTCTGCATGCTTGCAACTTTTTAAATTGTTTAAAATACACTTTATAGGACAGCATTTCTAACCCAAGATAATAACCCAATAAGCTATTAAAAACAGAAGCCATATTATAATATTTTTTAAGGACTAAAAATTTCAAGTAGAGAAAAAATACCGTAAACAAAATCCGAAGACAAATAATCAATTGGGAAATTATTTTTAATAACCCAGGGTTAGTATCAACAATATAAAACACATGTTTAGAAAGTGGGAAAAAAAAATATATAGAAAAAAAGAATATAAATGGGCAAGTTACAGAGGAAACAAATGTGTATGGCTAAAAATACAAAAAAAGCTATTAAAATTACTGTTGTTGTTGTTGTGTGCCATCGAGTAGGACCTGATTCATAGCAACCCCTCCTTGGGTTTCTGAGGCAGTATCACTATGGAAGTAGATTGCCCCATCTTCCTTCTGAAATTACTGAGACACCATATAATGAAAATTAAAATAGCAATGAGATACTTTATATTTTTTAAATTGGAAAAAAGAAAAAAAGGGGGTGGGAGGGAACATTTCCTATTACTGCATTGGATAACAGTGAAGGATATGTTCATGTATTAGGTTGTAGCGTGAATTTGTTATGACCTTTTTGAAGAGCAGTATGGCCATCATCTATTAAAATTTAAGATACCTGTCCCTTTTAAGCCATTAATCTCACTCCTAAGAATTTACCCTTAAAAATGAAAGAACAAGTTTGTAAAATTTTATCTATTAGATGGTTTATTGTGGGTTTATTTGTAGAACCTGAACCAAGTGAATATCCAACAATAAAGAAATGATTGAATAACTTATGACATTCATATCCAGACTATTTTAAAGTCATTACAAAGAATGAGTTATAATTAGGCCATTTTATATGGAAGAATTTCCAAGCATTATAGTATTTTTATGCAAATAACACTTGCATTTTACCGTTTTTTTGCAAACCATGCAACTACCTTGCATATTAGTTTCCTACAGGTGCTGTGTGTGTGCTAGGTACATTGTATGTGAAAATATGCTATTATTTAGGGATGAAAACAAGATGTAGAAAAGTTTTTATGCAGTCATCTATTTTAATCAAACAGTGATAATTTCCCATAGGCATATATGACTAATCATGTATAATATGATACATGCTTGTATATGATCCTATAACCATGAAAAAAAATACAGAAAGTTTGATGATAGACTCTTAACATGCATGGGTTGTGATAATTAAAGGGGGTTGGGGAGTCAAGCAAAACAGAGAATGCAAAAGAATGCATTATCCAGAATGGAAAATAATGATTTTGTTTATGCGTTTATGTAACTTTATATGTTTCTGTTGTTAGGTGCCACTCAGTCAGTTCTGACCCATAGAGATTCTACATACCATAGAATGAAATGCTGCCCAGTCTTGTGCCATCCTCACATTGTTGCTAAATATGAGCCCATTGTTGCAGCCACTGTGTCAGTCTATGTCATTGAGGGTCTTCCTCTTCTTTGCTGACCCTCTGGTTTACCAAATACGATGTCCTTTTCCAGGGACTGGTTGCTCCTGAGAACATGTCCAGAGTACTTGAGGTGAAGTCTCACCATCTTCACTTCTAAGGAACATTCTGGCTATACTTCTTTCAAGACAGATTTGTTTTACTGACAATCCATGGTGTATTCAGTATTCTTTGCCAACACCATAACTCTAAGGTGTCAGTTCTCCTTTGGTCTTCCTTATTCACTGTCTAGGAGCTCTGGTAGCATAGTGCTTAAGGCACTTGACTGCTAACCAGAAGGCTGGCGGTTCAAACCCATCAGCCACTCCTCGGAAGGAAGGTTGGGCAAAATACTTCTGTAGTGATACCCCCTCGGGAACCCAAGGAGGGGTCGCTATGAGTTGGGTCCGACTCGACGGCAAATAACAACAATAACAACATTCACTATCTAGCTTTCTCATGCATATATGGTTATTAAAAATGCCATGGCTTGGGTCAAGCATGCCTTAGTCCTCTAAGTGTCATCTTTGCTTTTCAACACTTTAAAGAGGTGTTTTGCAGCAGATTTGCCAAATGCAATACATCATTTGATTTCTTGACTGCTGCTTCCATGGGTGACTTTATATATGTATTTTTTTTAATTTATTTTTTTAAATCCAACATTTTGTTTCAAGAATGAGAGTTCATTCAAGGAGAACTTAACTGTATTTGACTAGAGGTTATGTTAGAAATGGACTTAGCAAAAAGTTAACTAGACAGAGATGCTACTCAAAGAAAGAACTGTATTGTATTGCTAGAATATTTAAACAAATAATAGAAAACAAGATTCAATTTTTCTGCCTTCATATTTATTAACAAGTAATTCACGTTAATATTCTTCTTGAAAGGATATTCATCAAGTAGTAAGCGATGTAGACCACCACTTGTCTCAGATTTTTGTGCTGTGGTGGCTTGCATGTTGCTGTGATGCTGGAAGCCGTGCCACTGGTATTTCAAATACCAGCAGAATCCCCTATGATGGACAGGTTTCAGTGGAGCTTCCGTAGTAAGACTAGGAAGAAAGACCTGGCAATGTACTTTTGGAAAAAGTTGGCCAGTGGAAACCTTATAGATACCAGTGAAACACTGTCTGATACATACTGGAAGATGAACCCTTAAGTTTGGGGGACACTCAAAATCAAACATAGCAGTGATTGTGATGGTGGCAGAGGACTGGGCAGTGTTTTGTTCTGTTGTACATAGGATCACTATGAGTTGGAACCAACTCAGCAGCTCTTAACAAGTGATACAGAATACTGGTAGAAAAAATTAATAGTTATATTTTATAAAATGGTGCCTTTTAGCTGGGAAACTTTAAATCTCTTTCTCTCTCTCTTTGTTCTCCATTTTGGGAGAGTATGTATCTCTTTAACTAAAAGTCAAAGCAAGGCCTAAATGCAGACAGTTCAACATTATGGATAATTACCTTTGAAATTTTCTTTTTCCTCTTTCAGTGCACAGGATGACAGAATTCGAGTTGAAAGGATGGATAACGTTTATTTTGAATACAGCCATGCTTTCCAGGAGATTACAGATTTTTATGCGAAAGATGTAGTTGACATCAAAGGTAAATGTTTTATACGTGTTATCCATATATGCCCTCAAATTTAACTAAGTTACATTTGGATAAAGGTGTGAGTTAGACTTTCAGTCTAATAAAAACAGGGCCTTAGGTTGTTGCTGAAGGTCATTGGTTCTGGGTAGAATCTTGACTTCCCTGCAGGAGACACAGGTTCAGTTCCCAGCCAGTGCACCTCATTTGTAGCCACCACCTGTCATTGGAGGCTGATGCGTTGCTGTGATGCTGAACAGGATTCAATGGAGCTTCTAGAATAAGATGGCTAAGAAAAAGGTTTGGAGGTCTACTTCTGAATATCTGCTCTGTGTAGCGAGTAGTGGGTGGACCTGCAGTCCATCATGGGGCTGCTGCAGGACTGGGCAGCATTTTGTTCCATTGTGCGTGGGCTCCATGGCAGCAAACTACAAGTCATTACCAGCAAATAACGGGAGGAGGTAGAGGGAGGAGTTCACTGTAACATCACTGAAGCTCCTTCCTTTGTAATTGTGATCTTTTGATGGTGTTGACATATTTATTGGAGTGTTAGGAAGAGTCAGTTACTCACCAGCTTTCCTTTTTGCTTCTCTTAAATATGGTTCATTACTATCCTCAGAATTTTATAGAATATTTTGACACGTTCTGCCGAAGGCTAGCAGTTTAAAAGATTGGTTGCCAGAATTAAAATACCAGAATGTTAGTGCCAGAGCATAAATAAGTAACAGTTATTTATCTATCTCACATTCTCTCCACCACCCAACAATACTTGATATAGCCCGTGTCTCTCATACCTGCCACACCAGCTAATGTTAAGACAATAAGAGAAATAAATTACACAGTGTGTTAGTAGATGATAACTGCTATGAAGAAAACAAGGCAGGAAAAGGACTGCTCTTTTAAATAGTGATGAAGAAAGGCCTCACTGAAAAATGGCCCTGAACAAAGATTTGAAGGAATTAAGAGAAAAAGCCATTAAAAAAAAAAAAAAAAAAAATGGAGGAGCAGTGTTTCAGGCAGAGAGGACGGTCATTATAAAGTCTCTTATACAGGAGTGTGCCTGGCATGTTTAAGGAACAGCAAGGAGGCTGTGTGCTGGAGCAAAGTGACTGATGGAGAAACTATTAGGAGGTGAGGTAAGAGGTAAAGAAGAGATGGGAGGCAGATTGTGTACGAGTGCATAGTCAGTCCACTGTAAGCACTTGGGCTTCTACTTCGCAGTGAATTCGAGATTTTGGAGGATTTTGGTCAGAAAAGTGACATGTTCTGATGTACATTTTTAAAAGGATCCTTGTGATTTCTCTGTTAAGGATATTCTATCAGGAGTAAGGATGAAGCAGGGAGAAAAGATGGAAAGCTATTGCAGTATTCCCAAAGAGAGATGAGTGTGGATCATACACCTTATTTTCCTCACTTGGCAATACATTGTTGATAGGTTTCTGTATCAGCACTGACAGGTGTAAGTGATTTCTTTTAGTAGTTGCATTGGAATCTGGATTTACAAAAAAGTTTTAAACTGTTATTTATGTTCGCATATGTTGTCTCTAGTTTTTTACTGGATTTTTCTGTAAAAACTCTTTGCAAACAAATTTTCCACTGAACATCCTTGACATGCATGTTGGGTATTTCTGGATCAAAAGAATCGAGCATTTAAATTTTAAAAATGTTTGCTAGATTGCTGTCCAAAGAGATTCATTTCATCCTCAGGAATGCCCTTTTCTCATCTCCTAGGTTTTCTTAATCGTTCACATTTTTCCACAGGGCAATTTTAGGAGTTATTTTATAAATTATTATGTGAATAACCACAAAATAAGTTTTGTCAACTTAAAAGTTGTTTTAATAATGATGAATAATAATTTTAATGAGGGCATACTGTTTTTTAGGTTCTCAAAATTTTTCTGGCATTATGAATCTGGAGAAGCCTGTGATTTGCTCTTTGGCCGCCATGATAAGATACCTCAAAGAATTTAACTTGGAAAAAATGCTCTCCAAGCCCAAGTAAGGGATTTTTCGAAGACTAAAAGATTATAATAATTAAAAAAACAACGAGGTTATATTAATAGTATTTCTTAAATTGAGCTTGGTAACTACTATATTCAGAAAAGTTTACTTGCTATCGATAAAATACCCTAATTGGCAGGGAAGGGGGACACGAAGCAAGGGTAAACTATTTGGTAGTATTGCTGAGGGATAGTAAAAATATTGATTAATTTATAATATTGATAGAATCCTTAAGAATCCTGTCAAATAATTTGTATTCATGATAACTATTTGTTGTCTTATATCTTCGACTATAACATTGTCTTTTGTACTAACTGGATTTAGAAGTAGTAGTAGAAAACATTTATAACATGTCATTGCTTTTCTTATTTTTGGTTTCAGTTCTCATTTTAAGAACAAGAAGTTGGAGATAAAGGGACCAGCTGCTAATATGGACAACTTTTTAAAAGAATGATTAACTTTGTAGATATTCTAAAGTTTAAAACCTAATATAATAGGCATTGTGGAAAAATACTAGTTTAGTAACAAGTAGAATTAAAAAAAGGCAGCAGATAATTTTCTTGTCATTTTAAATTTTACTTTTTTAACCCCTTGCCTTTGCCTCTGAAAAATTACCTTCCATTATATTGATTCCAAGGAGCCCTGGTAGCACAAAGGTTAAGCACTTGGCTACTAACCAAAAGGTTGGTGATTTGAACTGTTCAAGTGGCTTTGTGGGAAAAAGACCTGGTGATCTGTTTCTGTAAAGGTTACAGCCCAGAAAACCCTATGGGACTCTTCTGTTTTGTCACATGTAGTCACTATGAGTTGAAATTGACTTTACAGCACCTAATAAGAAATACAACATAATGATTCTGGATAAGTAAGCTACTTCCCATTTTATAGAACTTGATGGACATATAGGAACTGGCTCAATTAAAGGGCAGAATGTGGATTGGGGAACCAAGAGGTGTTGCTGGGTAGAGGTTGTTGAGAATCAAAAAAAGGCAGTGTATTAGACTGGGTTCTCTAGAGAAACAAAACCAGTAAAGCTTATATATATGTATATATATAGAAACTTATCTTAGGAAAATGGCTCACACACTTATAGAAGCTGGCAAGTCCAAAGTTCCTGGATCAAACATCAAGCTGGAGGCTTTTCCACGTCAAACTGGAGGCTTTTCCCGACTCTTGCAACCACAGGGGCTGTGGAGCTCAAGGCTGGAAGGCAGTACACCGGCTGTTGACTCCAACGAATAACAAATTCAAGATCTCCAGGCTGAATGGTGGACTGTTCACTCACGGATAGTTGTAGGCAGCACAACAGAATCCCGATCCACAGAAGAATGTCTCTTTTCCCAGGATGTCCTTGGATACACTGGAAGCAGGCCACACCCCTAGGGAAACTTCCTTTCAACAGATTGCCTGCTCAAACATAATCATCTGATCCCATCATGGGAATACCACTCACAGCAGCTTAAACCACACAGAATTGTGGTCCAGCCAAGTTGACACACAGCTCCAACTATTGCAGGCAGGCACTTGGGAATCTTTTTGTAATGCCTTTTTGGTGAGGGGTCTATGTGTTATTTACGATAGAACAGAATATCATCTTTGCAGGTTGTCCTTTTCAGAAGCTAAATAGCTGGCCAACTGACTGGAAGAGATGCATATTTGTACCCATTCCAAAGAAAGGTGATTCAACAGAATGTAGGAGTTATTGAACAATATCATTAATATCATACACTAGTAAAATTTTGCTGAGGATAATTCAAAAAAGGTTGCAACAGGACATTGATAGAAAAATGCCAGAAATTTAAACTAGTTTCAGAAGAGGATATGGAACAAGGGATATCGTTGCTGATGTCACATGGATCTTGGCTGAAAGCAGAGAATACCAGAAAAATAATTACCTGTGTTTTATTGACTATTCAGAAACATTTGACTGTGTGGATCATAACAAATTATGGATAATATTGTGAAGAATGGGAATTGCAGAGCACTCAGTTGTGCTCATGAGGTACCTATATATATAACAAGAGGTAAGAGTAGAACAAAACAAGGGGATACTGCATGGTTTAAAATTAGGAAAGGTGTGTGTCAAGGTTGTATCCTTTTACCATATTTATTCAGTCTTTATGCTAAGCAAGTAATCCGAGAAGCTGGACTATATGAAGAAGAACACAGCATCTGGATCTGATGAAGAATTATTAACAACCTGTGATAAACAGATGACATGACCTTGCTTGCTAAAAGTGAGGATGACTTGAAGCACTTATTGATGAAGATTAAAGACTACAGCCTTCAGTACAGATTATACCTCAACATAAAAAAACCCCAAAATCCTCACAGCTGGACCACTAAGCAACATATGATAAATGGGGAAAAGATTAAAGTTGTCAGGAATTTCATTTTACTTGGATCCACAATCAACACCCATGGAAACAGCAGTCAAGTAATAAGATGACATAGTGCACTGGGCAAATCTGCCGCAAAAGGCCTCTTTAAAGTGTTAAAGAGCAAAGATGTCACTTTGAAGACAAAGGTGCATCTGGCCCAAACCATGATATTTCCATTAGCCTCATAAGGATGTGAAAACTGGACAATGAGTAAGGAAGATTGAAGAATAGTTGATGCATTTGAATTGTGATCTTAGGGAAGAATATTGAAAATACCATGGATTGCCAGAAGAACGAACAAATCTGTCTTGGAAGAAGAATGGAATGCTCACAGCATGCCCGTAGAAGCAAGAATGGCTAGACTTTGTCTCATGTACTTTGGTCATGCTGTCTGAAGGCACCAGTCCTTGGAGAAGGATATCATGCTTGGTGAAGTAGAGGATCAGAGAAAAAGGGGTAGATCTTTAAGGAGATGGATTGACACAGTGGCTGCAGTGATGGATTCAAGCATAACAAAGATTGTGAGGATGGTGGGCAGTGATACTTCTGTTGTATAGAGGGTCACTGTGAGTCAGCACCTAACAATAATAGAAACAAATGTTCTTTAACATGAGCATGGATTCATTGTGTTATATTCACCCAATGGAATGCTATACAGCAATGAACATGAACTTACTAGAGCTACATGTATCAATTTTAAGAATTTGTTTATATGTTGAGCCAAATCAGGTTGCTAAAGTATATACCATTTGATGTACATAAATAGAATATACCATTATGTGAAATTAGAAATATCTAACATAGTGCTATATACTTGTTAAGAATACATACATATGTAGGGAAAGTATAAAGACATGCATGAGATGACAGAAAACAAATTCAGAAGAATAGTTTCTTCTCTCCACTGGTAAAGAAAGGGAAGCAGTAGAAGTTAGTGGGGGAAATGACAGGGAAGTTTATTTTTTTAACCTGAATGCCACATTAATCTATATATGCTTAATATGTCTGAAATACTTCATTAAAATGTTAGACCCTGTCATTGTATCCCATCGAATTATATCTAAATCTCCAATGGTCCAATGGTAGGAGCAGCAGCCAGGAATCCAGGTAAGGAGAGGGACCCAGGCCCCACCCCCAACTGGCAGGAAAGTGGGGAAAAGAGAAGCGAGGGGGCCAACAGAGCAGAGCAGCAGCCAGGGATCCAGGTAAGAGGAGTGACCGAGGCCCCACCCCCACCACCCAAGAAAGCGGGCAAAGAGAAGTCAAAGGGGCCAACAGAGCAGAGCAGTGCCAGGGATCCAGGTAAGGGGAGGGTGGAGAGGTTTTGAATAGCTAAGGGAGACAAACTTGTCTATCAGTTTGTTGTACTGTTGTGGCTTGCATGTTGCTGTGAAGCTTGAGGCTGTGCTACTGGTGTTTCAAGTGCTGGCAGGGTTGCACATGATACACACGTTTCAATGCAGCTTACAGACTGAGACAGACTAGGAAGAAGGAAGAAGCCATCCATTTCTCAAAGAATTGGCCAGGAAAACCTTATGAATAGCAGAGAAACTGTGATACAGTACTGTGCAACTTTATGAATAGCCCTGAATTGTTATCTGATACAGTTCAGGAGGACGAGCCCCTTAAGTCAGAAGGCTTTCAAAATACAACTAGGAAAGAGCTGTATCTTCAGAGTAGGACCAACCTTACCGATATGGATAAAGTAAAGCTTTCAAGACCTCCATTTGCTGACGTGGCACCACTTAAATTGAGGAGAAACAGCTGCAAATATTCATTAATAATAGGAACATGGAATGTTCGAAGGATGAATCTAGGAAAATTGAAAGTTGTCAAAAATGTAATGGAACACATAACGATTGATATCCTAGGCATTAGTGAGCTGAAATGGACCGGTTTTGGCTATTTTGAATAAGATAACCATTTGATCTACTATGCTGGGGATGACAGTTTAAAGATGAATGGCATGGCGTTCATCATCACAAAGGATGTTTCAAGATATGTCCTGAAGTACAGTGCTATCAGTGATAGGATAATATCCATGCTCCTACAAGGAAGACCCATTAATACTACTATTATTCAAATTTGTGCACTGACCACCAAAACCAAAGATGAGGAAATTGAAGATTTTTATCAACTTCTGCAGTCTGAAATTGACCAGACATGCAATCAAGATGTCTTAATTATCACTGATGACTGGAATGCAAAAGTTGGAAACAAAGAAGAATCACTGGTAGTTGGAAAATTTGGCCTTGGTGACAGAAATGGCACTGAAGGTTGCATGATAGAATTTCGTAGGACCAGTGACTTATTCATTGCAAATACCTATTTTTCAACAACACAAATGGAGGCTATACACGTGGACTTTGCCAGATGGAATACACAGGAATCACATTGACTACATCTATGGCCAGAGGTGATGGAAAAGCTCAGTATCTTCAGCCAAAACCAGGCCAGGAGATGATTGTGGAAAAGACCATCAACTTGCTCACATGCAACTTCAACTTGAAGTTGAAGACAAAACAAAGTCCATGAGAGCCAAAATATGACCTTGAATACATCCCTCCTGGATTTAAAGACCATTTAAAGAATAGATTTGATGCATTTAACACCAATGAC